AACAGGGATCACTGGATCCACCCCTGGAGTTTCTGATTCACTGGGTCTCAGGGGAGGCCCAGGCATTTGCATTTCTAAGGATTTCCCGGGTGATGGCGATGCTGATGGTTAAGGAACCACAGTTTGGGCACCACTGGTCTACATGATAAGTTTATATTACTCGTATAGTATTGTGGAATTCAGGGGGTTAGCAGCTTTCTTTTTTCCCCCCAGAAGCAATCTCACTTACTACGCTGGTATATTTATATAAGAATCATCGGGTAAGGTTGTCTGTACCTGAGAATCATTTTTCTGAGTGTAGAGCCAAGGATGTGAATTTCACCTACAATCTTGGCCTATGTTGAGGTTAGGAGAACAGGAGGAAACCACAATTATTTTTGAACCCCTACTGTGTGCCAGCTGTACTTTGCTCTGTGTATTACTCATGCTGTTGTGTTTAACCTAAATGCTTATTCCCTGAAGAATGTAGGCGAGTTGCCTGTGGTGTCCAGTTAGCTAACTCGTGGTAGAGGTGGGGCAAGATGCCCACACACTGCACAGTGATAGCTAATCCAGGGGGGAACAAAAGAACCTTCAGGCTTGGCCCACAGACTTTACTGGCTCTGTTTTAAATGATTTTAATTATTATTAGTTTCTTTATTAACTTGGACCAAGAGCCCTGGATTCCTGGCACCAAGCGGACCAGCCATGATGCCTTTGTTGTGATTTGATTACCTGTCCTCCTTGCCAGTGAAAGGCAAGCCCTTTTCTTCTGAGCTGTCTTTCCCAACACATTTCAGGATCTTTAATGGTGGATACTCTCCGGAAGATTTTGGCAGGTGACCCATGAAATAGGTCAGCGTTTCCAAAGCAGTGTTCCGATTTGGTTCAGGGTAAAAGATAAGATAGAGGCTTAGCTAAAGCTTTAATTCTGAAAGAGGGTATTTGATTTACTGCGTTCGTTGAGAGCTCATTTTGATCCTGTGTAACAGGAATCACGGGCCATGTGCACCACACAAATGTAGCTCGGGTTACAGGTTCCTTCTGTGGGTTAAACCCTACGCACTTGGGCAAGGTCAAGGACAATGGAAGGACATCAGTCCACGCTGAGTGAGCCCCCAGGCATATTGTCCCAGAGACCCGTCACTCCCAACCAACCACAAGTTCTTTGATTTGTTGAGAAAGGAAATGTAAGAGACAGGAAGAAATCCTGGGCCCTCTGGCAGCTTCCATGGGAATATTTTGTAGCAGGGGACATAGGGATGGGCTGATGCCTTAAAGGTTAAGAATTTATAGGAGGCAGGTAGATTTTTCTGATGAGTAATCTCTTTCACTTGTTTCGTATCACTGCAGAGTGCTGTTACTTATATGAATTTGAAAGTGCTCTGTGAAATAGCTGTTAGGAAAAGTGATTTTTATCCCCATTCTGTAGGCGGGGTGACTGGTCAGTGAACAGCAGTCATCTGTCCAGGTCCCACAGCTGATCAGTTGCAAACATGGGACACAAATGTACATCTTTTCCATCTTTTCTCTGATTCTGGTGCCCTTTTTATCTCACCATGTCAGGGAAGTACAAGGGTGTGTGTGTGTGTGTGTGTGTGTGTGTGTGTGTGTGTGTGTGTGTG